CCATTTTCTGTGGCTTAGTCTGATTCTAATGGCTCATATTTAGCGCATGCATTGCCAATAAAATCACATGTGCAGCTTAAGGTCACATTGTGCTTCCTCCAAATATATTGCAGAATATTACAATGCAGCTAAAATGGGCTCGTTTGCAGGAAAGTACCAAATTTAGTGTATAGAGGTTTGGAATTCCAAGCTCTTAGCTCCCAGAAGACTCCAGTTGGCTCCAAAGCATCTCAACATAGATTTTCTCTTCCTCCTCTTCAGCCAAACAAACAGATGTATCATCTATCATTTCTTCTTCGTTTTCATCCGGGATATCCTCATCCATCTCTTCAGTAGTTATTGATGCCAAATCAATCTCTCTCTGTTGAGCAGAAGCTTCAGCCAAGGCCTCTCTCATGGCCTGTGCTGTTGCTGGCTTATCACTATATTGATATCTTGGTGCAGGCATGACAAAGGGCAGTATGACATCATCTATATTGTGTTTATTACAATTAGATGAATCTGATGGTGGAACAATTAGAATAACACCGAGCTCATAGTTGCATATATGCAGTCTTGGGCCCAATATATTTGATTCAGATGAAGGCAAAAGAACTTGTCCCCAAGCTGCTGGGCTGAAGTTGTGTGATCCACAATATATCCAGCCAAAAGGTGGAATACCTGCTGTTCTTGACTGGAAGCGCCTCCGAGCTACCTGTTAGACAAAAAAATTTTAGTCTATACAATTTTCTGCAGAGAAAAGGAAGTGCTAAGGCTGATTCATCATCAGGAAATATTACCTTGACATGCATTGGATACCCTAGCCTATTGCTTGGATGAGGAATTGCATCATGAAATATACCCGCAGGTCTCAACCTCTGCCATGTTTTCTGTAAAGGATCAAACCCACGGTCCACAAGAGGTAAATTAAAACAAATCCATCAGAAAGGCCAGGTATGCATGCTAAAGAGCTCCAACAAAAAACACAAAACAAATATGTTTACACTATAATATACATAGCCGGCTGAATCTGCTATGTATATTAAAGTGTAAACATATTGGCAAATGATCATAACCAAGTAAAGTTAAGGCTTTTACTTATATACCCCCCAAATGTTGGTTATTTTTAATTTACCCGCTAAAATCTTCATATCTCTGATCTGGCCTCCAAATTGCTCTCAAACTACAAATGTTACCCATCGTCATTATTAAAGAATAAAATTGGAATATTCCAATTTTTGGAACTAAATAACTTTTTTAAAATGACTGAATTACCCCCCTTGATTTAATTAATCCATTTTACTTGTCATCTTCAGATCTGACGCTGTCACTCTGGAATCCCAAGCGAGGAGAGTTTTTCTTCAGCTCAAATATCCCCACAATTGTTGTCTAATACTGCAACATTGGGAGGATGAATGATGAAGAAACAGTGTGTTGACGGATGAAGGGAGAGAAATATGGGCCAACTTGTCCATTCACGTCCGTCCAAACTGCCCCCAAGTTTAACTAAGTTGGGAAAGGCAACAGTATATATACCATTTGCAAAGAATTTTCTTAATTTATGAAGTAATGCAAATAAAAGAATGAGTAGAAAGTAGATTCAAATCCTGCCTTAGCATCATCAGCCAGTAAACAAATTAAACGAAGCATTCAAAACCAAAGGATATACACTTATGTTCTTTTAGCCCATATACTAAGGATGTCTCCGGCCATTAATTAAGTAGAAAATCACAGCAATTACAAAGCCCTTAATAAGGATAACAACCACTTTAGGTAGCATATTGAAAAAAAGAGCCAAACTTTTAACACCTCTATCATCTTGCAAACAGACAAAGGTGATACCAGAACACACATACAGATTGGTTTCTTACCTCTGGGAGAGAAAGTAAACAGCGAGAAGGCTGAACTCCGTGCCGGCCACTTTTCACTCTGTCAATTGTTGGGAATAAGAACTTTATTGATGCATTTCGTAGCTCATGATTAGTAGTCCAGCATCCCCACTGCAAACGTTGGTTAACTGTCTAAAATTAAATACTAATTTAAAAATAATGAAAGATTTAGATTTGATTGTGAACTTCACTTCTGGATCAGATTCTTCAGATTCAGGCAGATTAGCTGATCTTTTCCCTGCTGCTGCTGAGAAGGCAGCTATAAATTGTGGATTGACCGAGGTTCCAACTGAGGATGAACCTTTTTACATGAAAGAATTTCAAGATAAGCCATAATCATTGAGATGAGTTAAACTTAGCATATAAAAAAATTCATTAGAAATTCTTACTGTATATAAAGTCTGTCTCCAACATTTCAGGCCACTTGTACTGAGACAACACCTATAACAAAACAGACATGCTGATGAACTCGTATTTCACTTTTTCGTAGTAAAGGAATTTAAAAACTGAAAAATGTTGAAAATAATGCTAACACATATATGTAACGCCTTTCCCTCCACTTAAGAGCTCGGGGGCGGGGGGTGGGGGGGGGGAATCGGTAATGCATAAACATTTGCGTTATTTTGTTTATTAATTACTTAGATTTTTTATAAATAAAAAGTATTCATAATGAGTTTAATAATTAGCATCATCAAAATTTTCAAACATTGGGGAGGACCGGAAGAGTTAAAGGAGTTACGGTTAACAAGCCTTTGTCTTCGTCTAGAGGAGTTAGGGTTTAGAAGCCGGAGAGACGTGGGAGGAGATTAGGGTTTTCTTCATCGATGAGAAGAGATTGGGGAGTCAAGGAGTAAACAGAGGAGCCTTGTCATCGGCAAGAGGTTTCTTCGTCAAAGGCATGAGAGGGAGAGGCTTTTTCACATGAATGAAACTACGGTCGGGGAATGCGATTGGGAATTTATTTGAGTTAGGGTGGAGATATTGCCACGCATCCAAATTTGATCACCAGTTTAACTCAACAAGCGTGATGCAGACGAAACGTTTTTTTTTTCAGTGTTATTTTCTGCGTTAAATGCATCATGTGTTTTCTTCTCGAATTCTATAATACCTTGGCCCTGTTAGGTGTCAAAATGGGTTATAATGCATTTCGAAACAAATTATTGGATATGGTTGCAAAACAAATTATTGGCTTATTACATATCTTTGCTCCTCCAATGATTTTTTTCCAGCTTATCACTTGAAATTGAGACATACAAGAAATAAACTGATTATTGTAGAGGTAGCTAATCAAGACTAAGGAATACCATTTGAAAGTGATGAATGAATAAAAAGCTCATGGACAAGGAGGCAACAAAGGAAAGCTCACAACTCTATGCTTAATGACAGGGTAAAGAGAACCAAATTGCACTTCATTGCCATACTAATAACCATCTAAAGGCTGAAATTTTGCTGCGAATAGAAGTGTATCTCTTCTAGACAAGCTAGATTGCTTAGGGTAGATTATTAAGCTAACTTCAAATAAAATTCTCCTGAACTTCATGTAACATCTCAATTTCATTATGGTACTGTGATCTTATGAAAAAAAGCTTGAGAGAACGCGAATGAGCATTAAGTGGGTCACAGTTGCTTGGTCTGCATTGTGGACCAGTTGCATCACATCCGTTAATGAAATTAGCCAAGAGGTTATATAATTAAATTGGTGATTACAAACTAAAGACAAAACGGACAAACTAATAGCATGAGCAAATTTGATGTAATGGCTAAGTGCATAGACAACCAACATAAAGTAGTAATTGATCGATCATGGGACTAAAACAAGTGGGGAAATAATGTAAATTTAGGGTTTCCGTCTTGGATTTTAGGGGTCTCTGATAATATGTAAAAGAAAAAAAGAATAACTGAAACATGAAAAAATTAATAAAGAGCATGTACTTATGTGATTGAGTAGCAGTTTTGTCGGGGAATGAAAAACAAAGACATAGGGAAAAATTGATGTTTAATCTGGTCGTTGGATGAGTTTGTGGAATTGGATTAGTATGTGAAATATGCAGAAAGAATTCAGCAAAGTTTTTCCCATTATAACTGTCAGTTGCATAATTCATAGATATTTGAAGAAATTCTGAAATTTGAAATGGTTCTTTAAAAAAAAGAGAGATTATAGGTTGAGCTACTTGGTGAAAGCAGATGCCTTTTCCTTTTCTCCAATCAGTTTTGAATTTTTCCCAAGTAATTGAAGTAACTTACTAATGAAATCATGAGGTGATAGTGTACATTTGTGGCGTGCATATGATCTTTGATGCTGAATTTACCTAGTGCACCACCTATTTTTTGGAGGTAACTTTGCTTGTGTCTTAGTTTGGCTAAAAGAGTTGATGATTGTAGTGTTGTCTAGGCGCATATGAAATGAAGGATGGAAGTGGACAGTGACGGGGCTAGGAATTTTTCCTTGGGGGGGGGCAAAATACAACCACGATACTATGCATTAATCGAAAAGTGATAACATGTCCAACATTTGATAAACTTTCTTATATGTTAAGTAAGTTAAAGAAGAACCTTACATTAAAGTTTTACAAAAAGTTTATTTTCATGAATATTTGAATCATTTCAGCATATGCACCTGTCATTTAATTAGCATGCTTCAATCTTCTAAAATTTCATTTTAAAAATGTACCAACTGTAGTTGGTTTTTTCACAATCATAAACTACAAATTATATATATTTTTTGAAGACCTGACAAATTGAAAATACAATATAAATTATACCATTAAACTTATTTCAAACAACAATAAGAAGAAATAAAAAAAAGTTTTACCGTGACGTTTATAAAATAATTACAAAAGTACATGAATATAGAAAACTCATTTCACATATCCACTTTTTGTTAAAACTTAATGAAATTGGAAGAACCTCATAGTCACTCAAGCTCAAACCCCAAAAAAGTTCGCTAAAGTACAAAATGAGGAAAACTTGTGAAGTATTATACTTAAAATCCACTGATCTTGATGTTGATTTTTGTCGATTGGTTAATTTATTAATAAGTCTCAGGTCAACCACCATTTAACAGCGGTTAACAATTTGGATGACGAATCCAACAAAGGAACTAATCTGAAAACACTTCTAAGATTTGACAGAGAATTTTAAAATATGTAAAGTTGAGGAATTAATTTTAAATATGAAGATTTGGGAGACTAATTCAAATATGAAGGTTTTGGGGAATAGTTTCATATATATGAAAGAATAGGGGACTAAGTTTAAATATGAAAGATTTGGGGGGACAAATATACAAAAACTCATACTAATATACATATATGCTATGTATGTTTGTAAAAAGCTTGGGGGACCATGGTCACCCTCTGTCCCCCCTAGGTCCGTCATTGGAAGTGGATGGGGTGCTCTTCAGGACATGCATGTTCTGTTATTAGTTGTGGATTACTTTTGAGCCTTCAAGGGACTACAATTTTGTACAAAAATAAGAGTGCATCGGCAGTATTCTAGCGGTCATGAAACCATCCTGAACTTCTCAAGGAAATGGTGATCTTCTAACTCATTTTTGCCTTCATGTCTATGCTTCTCAAAATTAATCTTTGTTTCCAAGGCAATGATCTTTATAGCATCTATCGTATGAAGCGAAATATCTTGGTTCCCTTTATGATAGAAAGTTGACAGTACCCATGTAGTTAAGGGATGATACCACTCTGCTGTCCAGTATGGTTATATTTTAAGATGACAACAAAGACAACAAAGGCAGAAAAAAGGCAAAAACATAAATAAGTACATTTATGGTCCACAAATAAATGTAAAAAGGTCTTGGTACCTCTTGTAATCGCCAAATGCCAAGAGGCCTTTGTATAGATGCCATAAGCGAACATAAAGGGGCTATATGATCAGGTTGAATCAATCTTGATATTTCAACAAAATTTGCACCCTATAGTGAAATATTATTATAGATGCAAGATTAGTAGGACATAAACCAGACATAAATGGTCACTAATAAATTCCAACTGGAGAAAGAATAGTTCAGACATGCCTGCGAAACATGCAACAGCAGTGGCACTTTAGTGTTGCTGCTGCCCAATACAGCTGCCAGAGTTTCCATAGGATGTATAAAAGCAGAAAAACTAAAAAACCCAGCATCATGGAGAGGTGACACCCACCTCGCAGTGTCTCGAGGAAGAAAACCAAGTTGCACGCTATCTGCTCAAAAGAAAATGCATTTAGTTGCCGATATAAACAGGCTACAATTTGCTTACAGCTGAAAAATATTTGTCAATATTTCTTAGGGGCAACGAGACGGTTACTCCTCAGATTCATTCCTACAGAATCTAATCTTATTTTAATGTGTTCAAAAATGGAAATATTAGTGCAATCAAATAACGAAATATCCACAGCCTAATCTACATGGAATTTTCTAGTAGAGTGGTAGTATTGAACAAGTACAGGCACTTGGATTCTTCAACACATGAATAGTCTCCCATAACCAAGTATCCTGAAACCAATTCCAGAATTCCCAAATCCAGAGTCTTCTCACATGAAGTTGAATTTATGATGAATATTCTTATTCAACATTGAAAAGGCTACATTAACAATGTGTTATCTTAGGGTTTTTGAATGTTTTCAAATAAGAAACATGAGCAAACACATAAAAGCATCCCAGCATCGGGAAACAACTGAAGACAACAGGTTGCTATTGAATAGTTCTATAGAGAGGGGGGAGGGAATGGCATGTTGATAAATAAGAATCCAATGCGAACATGGCCATTTTATTTCTCCTATATAGTTAATTTACCCTTAATGGAATCTCTATCTAAACCATTCAAAAGATGACTTAACTGCTGTAAGATGGGATGAGGAGTTACTCTCTCCTACTAAAAGAAGAAGAATGACGCATATTTATATATTGCACCAGTATTAATTCATGACAGAAGTGTTAGAATATAAAACAATAAACCTCAACTCACATAACGAGTTGTGGTGTAATGGTTAGAGGAACTTAATTTAAGATGGTACCAGAGCCACTTAGGTTCAATTCTCACTGGCCACACTGCAGAGGCATGTTAGAATATAAAACAATAACCCTCAACTCTCAACATAACTTCGGAGTTGTGGTATAATGGTCAGAGGAACTTAATTTAAGAAGAAGAAACATGCACTATGAAATAATGACGATTTAGTCCTTGGTAGTCTATAGGTAAAATCATGGGCGTTAGAAATTATATAAAATAGATAACATGCACTAAAGAAATAAAATATGTATTAAGCATTACCTCCCTCAGAGAATTCATCCACGTCTGCAACAAAAACGCTCATGGCATTAGAGTCTGCGGGTATGTTGATGTTTCTTTTCAATAAAACTTCTAAAGTGCTACGAGCATTTCCTTGGAATTTTCCCAGAAATGAAGCCAGGGTCTTTAATTGTGCACCATTGGAATCAGCTGCAGTATGAAAGCGATGGCCTAGACCAACTACAGACACTTGAGCAGAACCAAGATATTTCATGGAAGTAGACTGTGAGTGCCCACTATGTTTCCCCTGTATGAAAAATGACAGTAGGAAATTAAAGATAATTCACGCTATCAAAAAGATACATGTCATCAGTCGTTCTGTTATACAAGAACATCTACTTACCAGAATGAAAAGATCAGTTTCAGAGTAAGAAGATTTCTTTACATGCATGCCAGGTATTGAAGCAACCAGATGTCCAACAGCCCCTCCAAAGTCGTACTTTGTCAATTCTGCAATCCAATGTGCTTGGCTGGGTACATCAGAGATAAGAGATGCAATAAACCCACCTAGTTGAGGGGCAAAGTCAGGAAGTGAATCTTCAATTGTTGAAAAAAGTGTAGAAAAATCTGGAGAACTTCTGGAAGGAAAATCTTGCAACCATACCGTATTTGTCACGTAGTTCCACTGCCAAAATAAATAAGGGTTATTAAAAAGTAATCATAACAAATAATTCCACCAATGCTGCACAATATGTTTGCATAACTGAATATCTGAACCTGAAGCAAGATAATAAAATATTAAACCACAAAACGGATTTAGACTGCAGAAACCAATAACCAGAAGAAACCGAATGCGACACAAGTACTAACCACCATGTACATTAAGTTTTGGAGATCAATTTCATATTATGTTAAGTATTGCAAACTTTACAGAAAGCAAAAGGTTATAATGCTAATGCAAAACCTAATTATGGCTGAAATAAATACAGCAACTCTTGTTATTCGCAGAAGCTTTGACTGATTGGAGAAGATCAACTTTGTGAGAGAAAGAAAAACATCCCCTCCCTCTTTCTCTAATTTTGCATTACAACCAAGGGTCAGTTTGCAATAGTTGAAGAGAATGTTCTTTTTCGCCCATTACAAAATGACACCAAATTTTTGCCTAAAATATAATTCAAAGATCTTCGACATTTCACATTTTGAGAAGAAATAGACACATCAGAATGTTTATCCGATTGGATAAGTTAAATGCATAACCAAAAGTCAGGTTTGCTACCACCAGATGGTTTAGTAAGTTTTTTGGTATGCCCTTAGGGGTGGTAAACGATCGAATCGAACCGAATGCTAAGGTGTTCGTATTTGTATTTGTTTAAAATTATCGAATTCGAATGTGGACTCTAATATTCACTCACTGTCCGTGTACCAAATTTATCAGGGCAGTATTATCAACATGTAGCTGCCCCAAGACCGCTCCGCAAAGGGTCTCGATATCCGAGAGAATCTCCGATGGAACGACAAAGCCCAAATCAAGGCGTTCCCTCCAAAGAGGATCGGCTGCTCAAGATGATGAACTCCTAGAAGTTACCATCAACATGGTCAACAAGGGAAAATCCATAAATACAGCAACTCTTGTTATTCGCAGAAGCTTTGACTGATTGGAGAAGATCAACTTTGTGAGAGAAAGAAAAACATCCCCTCCCTCTTTCTCTAATTTTGCATTACAACCAAGGGTCAGTTTGCAATAGTTGAAGAGAATGTTCTTTTTCGCCCATTACAAAATGACACCAAATTTTTGCCTAAAATATAATTCAAAGATCTTCGACATTTCACATTTTGAGAAGAAATAGACACATCAGAATGTTTATCCGATTGGATAAGTTAAATGCATAACCAAAAGTCAGGTTTGCTACCACCAGATGGTTTAGTAAGTTTTTTGGTATGCCCTTAGGGGTGGTAAACGATCGAATCGAACCGAATGCTAAGGTGTTCGTATTTGTATTTGTTTAAAATTATCGAATTCGAATGTGGACTCTAATATTCACATATCTAGTTTTTTGAATTCGAACTCGAATACTTGGTATTTGATAAATATTCATGAATACTCACAAATACTTATCGAATATCAAACTATATTTATTCCGCTAAAGAATTTGATTTCCAAATAGTATTAAAATTCATAAATAAAAATTATTCCTTTATAATATATGATGTATATATATTTTAATCAAAATTTTAATTAGAAAATGGATTTAAGATTATTTAAGTCTTAAAATCAGTACATAAAACTTAAGTAACAATGGTAAACGAGTTAAAAATTTAACATCATATGTGTAATAATACAAATAATAAGTTGTGATCAAATTTTAAGCGAATATTTAATAGATAAACGAATCTAATATACATCTGGTTAAATTCTATTCTTTAGTAAACTCGAATACTAAAAAATATTTGTTTAGTGGTAAATGAACTACCGAATCGAATATGATCGAATAGTTATTCGAACAATTATCGAACCATTTATTAATTATTTGGTTCATTTCCACCCCTAATGCCCTCCTCCGCTTATGGTTTACTTCCCAGAAAAGCACATTAACCACAAGTGAAAGCTTTATATCAAACACTGAAACACCCTGACGCCTTTTTCTAGAGACATACTTTACCCATTTTAATAAAGAAGGGCTAGATAGATGAAACAGTAAACCAATTATTAATTTATTCAATTCCACTCAGAAAAAACTCTAAAGTTCTTCTATTCTTGCAAGATGGTGGTTAGGTTCAGCCATCTCAAATCTTTCGCCCATAAATTTCTCGATGAGAAGTAAAAGAAACATCAACACTTTACTCAAATCATTTCTAGATCTACTCCTAGTCATAAATATGGTCTCACTATCACCATATCCTTTCTTTAAGCATAGCATTTTCCAGCTAATTACTTCAAGGGTCCTTTTTTTCCCTCCTTTTAAACTAAGTTTTTTACTAGAATTTTCTTTTAAACCCACCCACTTCCACAAAATACTCAAATTCTATTATTTTTAAATCCAATTACATTTATTCCTACTTTTTGAATACCATATTTTAGCCTAAGCTAAAATCTCCAACTTAAGGGATGACAATTTATGATTTGGATGAAAACGAGCACAATCATAGGTTATAGTTCGTCAAAGTTTGGGAACTTTTGAGTACGCATAACATATTCTATGTGACACGCCAACTTGTGATTTGATCGAAAAAGGACAAAATCATGGGTTATATTCCACAAAATTTTAGAAAGTTTTTAGTATGCACAAAATACTCTATGCGGGACGAAAAATTATAACTTGACCGAGAAGGCCAAAATCATGGTTATAGTCCACATAAATTTGGAAATGTCAGGGTATGCATAAATATATGTGTGACGACTATTTGTGATTTGATTGAAACGCCCACAACCATTAGTTGTAGTCCACATAAACTCAGAAATTTTGACTATGCATAATATATTCTACGCATGGCTTTAACTGATTTGAGAAGATCAACTTTGTGAGAGAAAGAAAAACATCCCCTCCCTCTTTCTCCAATTTTGCATTACAGCTAAGGGTCAGTTTGCAATAGTTGAAGAGAATGTTCCTTTTCGCCCTTTACAAAATGACATGCTGATGACACCAAATTTTTGCCTAAAATATAATTCAAAGATCTTCGACATTTCACATTTTGAGAAGAAATGGACACATCAGAATGTTTATCCGATTGGATAAGTTAAATGCATAACCAAAAGTCAAGTTTGCGATCGCCAGATGGTTTAGTAAGTTTTTTGGTATGCCCTCCTCCGCTTATGGTTTCCTTCCTAGAAAAGCACATTAACCACAGGTGAAAACTTTATATCAAACACCCTGATGCCTTTTCTAAGAGACATATTTTACCCATTTTAATAAAGAAGGGCTAGATAGATGAAACAGTAAACACATTATTAATTTATTCAATTCCACTCAGAAAAAACTCTCAAGTTCATCTACTCTTGTAGGATGGTGGTTAGGTTCAGCCACCTCAAATCTTTCGCTCATAAATTTCTCGATGAGAAGTAAAAGCAACATCAACACATTACTCAAATCATATCTAGATCTACTCCTAGTCATAAATATGGTCTCACTATCACCATATCCTTTCTTTAAGCATCACATTTTCCAGTTAATTACTTCAAGGGTTCCCCCCCCCCCCCTCCAACCCCTTTTAAACAAAGTTTTTTACTAGAATTTTCTTTTAAACCCACCTATTTCCACAAAATGCCCAAATTCTAAATCCAATTACATTTATTCCTACTTTTTGAATACCATATTTTAGCCTAAGCTAAAATCTCCAACTTAGGGGATGGTAATTTATGATTTGGATGAAAACGAGCACAGTCATGAGTTATAGTCCGCAAAAAGTTTGGGAACTTTTGAGTACGCATAACATATTCTATGTGACACTACATCTGTGATTTGGTCATAAAAGGACAAAATCATGGGTTATATTCCACAAAATTTTAGAAATTTTTGAGTATGCACAATATACTCTATGCGGGAGGAAAAATTATAACTTGGTCGAAAAGGACAAAATCATAGTTATAATCCACATAACTTTGGAAATGTCGGGGTATGCATGAATATATGCGTGACGACTACTTGTGATTTGATTGAAACGCCCACAATAATTAGTTGTAGTCCACTTAAACTCAAAAGTTTTGGACTACACATATAAGCATATTATATTCTACGCATGATGATAATATGTGAGTTGGTCGAAAACGTCCAAAATCGTTCGTAGTAGTCAAAGAAGTACAACAATTTTGGAGTACAAATAAAATAATCTATGTGTGACAGAAAATTGTGATTTGGTTGAAAAAGTCCAACATTATGAAGGCATAGGCCATAGAAATTCAGGAATTTATGAAACGCATAAAACATTCTATTTGAGATGGCAATTTGAGATTTGGTCGAAAACGAAAAAAATCACGGATTAAAGTCCATAGATATTCTAAATATTAGAGTACACATGAAATATTCTATGAGAGAAGTCAACTTGTTGATTGAAAACGAAAAATCATGGTTATAGTCCATAGAGATTCAGACATTGAAGTATACATACAATATTTTACTCGAAGCAACAGTTCATGATTTGGTTGAAAACAAATACAATCATGAGCTATAGTGCATAGAAATTCAGAAACTTTAGAGTATGCAAAAACTATTCTATGAAACACAACAATTTGTAATTTGGTCAAAAACGGCCAAAATCATGGGTTATACTCCACAAAAATTCAACAATTTTTTATTACGCATAAAATACTTTATGTAGGGAATAATTTGTAATTTGGTCAAGAGCATCCAAAATCATTGGTTATATTCCATAGAAATTTGAGAATTTTAAAGTAGACATAAAATATTCTACGAAGGACGATAACTTGTGAATTAGTCGAAACACTCACAATCATGAGTTATAATCTACAGAACTGTCGAGAATTTCGGAGCACACATAGTATACTCTAGCATGACAACAATTTGTGTCTGGACAAAATGGGCCAAAATCTTGGGTTAATTTTGGAGTACGAAAAAAAATATTTTATGCAGGATGACAACTTATGGTTTAGTTGAAAACACCAAATCATGGTTCGTAATCCATCGAAATTCGAGAAGTTAGAGTAACCATAAAATATTATATGATAGATGA